GTAACTGTTGTTTCATTTAGTTTTAGTTTTTCATTTATTTTGACATTTAAATTTTCAGTTTATGAAAATGTTTTTTGACCAATAGTTTTAGTCTTAGTTTCAGTTTTCATTTACGATTATTACTTTTAGGGTCATTTAGTTGTTTTCAATGTCATAATCCGGCTCAAAGATCATGGCAAAAAAGAGGGAAGCAGGGATTTAATAATCAAAATAACACATTTATTTTACAAACAAAATAATAATTGAACACAAATGCCGGCAAAAAGCAACATAAAAGGGTGATGTGCGGGAGAGACAAACTCCCCACACACACCACAACAGGGGAAACGTAGGAAGCTTTTATGAGGAAAGACTCCGAGCCCAGGTGTCCTCCAATCAGCATTCAGACTGCAGCCCCGCCCCACTGAAACACAAAAATAAACAAAACCACACAGCAGGCAGGTGTGCAGGCCATCACACTCCCCACCCTCCCATGAGAACGGGGTCCCAAAGGGAAACCCAGCAACAACAAACAACTCACAAAACACACTCAAACTAAACTCAAAACAATTACAACCATTACAAACATGCAAACACCCCACTTCCCTTATTTAAAGGAAGAAACTACTTAACCTTTACCCTCACTATTCCAGTCCTCCGCATATTCCAGTCCTACTTCTGAGCAAGCAACCGGTGCATCTAGGAATGTGAATGGTCTCATTGAATATTCATGAAATTGAATATTTTTGAAATGACTGCACTGTGAACTGTACTAGAGACCTGCACTACCGCGGAAGTGAAAAGAAACTGAAGTGAAAGAAAGAAAGAAAGTGTGATGAGACTAGATGGCTTGTAGAGGAGCAGCAGACATGACAAAGGTGTGCTTGTACAGAAAAGAAACAACGAACACAGAATTGATCATGTCGTGGGTTTTTAAGACAACTTCACAATTTAAGTTCACAAAACTTAACATTTTAAGGCAGCACGAACACGTACTTTTTTAAGTTGAAACAACAAAATATTTTTTTTCAGTGTATAAGTATTTAAGGATAAAAGACTCCAGTTGCTTTTAAAATATTCACGAGTCCTTTCCCTCGAGTCGAGTCGAGTCTGGAGTCATTTCAGGTCGAGTCTGAAGTCTCTAAAAATGCGACTCGAGTCTGAGTCATGGATCTCAGTGCTGCGTTTGACACTGATATAAATGTCTGGAAAAGCAAGCTGGGGCAGATGCGTCGCAGATTTTAAGGGACAAAACACAGTTGGAGGTAGGGCTGGGCGATACATTAAAAAAATTTGATATCTATATTTTCACAATTTTTACAATATTCGAGATATATATATTATATATATGTCGATATGTTTGCATTTGCTTTTAAACAATAAATTAATTAATAAAAATAAACATGATTTTCTTTTGCCCCCATTAAAAAAAAAAAAACAACAAAAATAATTTAGATAGAACAGCTATTGTTACATACCAAATACAAAATGTTTAGTGCAAATTTAAGCACTTAAAAAAAAAAAATCTAGACCAAGTGATCACTTACTGCGTTTTATTAAATGAACACATATGTAACTGAAGTAATGCAAAACAAGTACAGAACATGAATTGTCAATTTTTTTAGTGCATGCAATTGACAATTCACACTGGTTTTTTTGGTTTTTTTTTTACAAGGTTTTAGCTAAGAACACAAATCTGTCAACCGTCTCTGGTTTAAGAGAAGCTCTGTGGCATGAAACTATGTTCCCACAGGCACTAAAAACCCTCTCAGATGGGGAGCTAGTTGCTGGAACACAGGTGTTTCTTAGCTAATTTAGCTAATTTGGGGAAATGTGCCTCATGGATGATCCACCACCATGAGCACAAATCAATAGAATGTGGACTCATACATGGTTTATTTTACCTCATCTAGTGTACTGATTCATTATATCATACATATGAGCAATATCACACGAGTAGAAGTGAGATATGGCTGTATATCGCACGTCTACGAGTGTGATATTGCGTTTATACAACAGTTCGACGGCAAGAGTGTATAAATAAATTAAAAACAACAACAGAGTGTCTTTAAAAGCCCTCTTTTGTGCAGAACTACTTCCGCCACGGATTGAAATCTAAAGTTGACAGTTTTTCAGCTGATCCCAAGCCTCCGTTACTAATTCAGAAACGTCACTTTAGAGCTAGTAACGAAGGAATGTTGAGTTGCTCCATTGAAAGCTTATTGTATTACTGTATTAAAAGCTAGCTGTATTATGTAGAGTGAAGTATTATGAGAGAGAGATGGACTGAGCGACTGTGATTAACGTTACCACTCACAATAAAACATAAGTTTGAATGTCCACTGAGGAAAGATTTGTCGTAATGTCAATATCCTTTCATCTGTTAAGGGTGATTTCTGATGACAGCACTGCTCAGTGCATTTGTTAGCTGCGTCGTTGTTGAAAGTAAAAATAACTTCCGTTTACAAAAGCGTTTATTTTTCAATGTAAAAGTCATAAAACAGTCTCTTGTCGCCATCTAATGGCGGAACAATGTAACTAAAATCAACACGCATCATGTCTCGGTACTAAACGCTATTATTAAATACTATTATTATTTATATAAAATATTATTTATTGAATATTCATAA